GCATCATATTGGGTAGTATGTCAAAGTGGACTCAGGTTGCTGTTTGCTGGCGCTGGTTGGCCGTCATATGCTGGTCGGAGCTTGAATCTCTCTCTATGAAACAGGTTGATGTATGATATCTTCCTTCTCGTTATTTTTCAACTTTATTCTCGTAATACTATGACTTTATTATCAAAATAATCTCTAGCCTGACCCTAATACTTCGTCGTACTGGAGAACTTGTAGCAAGAGGGATTCCCCCCCCCCCTTCTATGTTCTTTTATTGGAAGCCTGGTTACTTATTCTGACCGTAGCTCCTTTTCTGTCAGAGCGGGTTGGTTTAGTGATTGATATCTAATCTTTGAGATTTAAATGTTGAAATTTTTTTGCTTATGTAAAGTGTACTAGAAATAGGACAAATCATTTCATCATTATTGTTTTGTACATAATTACTCTTATCATTAAAACTCCATGGTATAAAACTTTTTTATCATCAATCTCAAACTGCCTGCAGCACAAATAATTTGCTCCTTTAAATAGGGCGTACCAAACCTTGTTACCACATCTTTTGCACAATATTTTTTTTTCAAAGAAATTTAGCTATCTTTATTTTGATTCTTATTTGACATATTTTTTAAGCATTAAAAAATATATAAACATTAAGATTGTATGTTTTCAAGAAATTTCCAGGTGCCATTTCTGCGGTCCATGAGAGACATCACTACCAACTTTAATGGGACAACACTGACAATACTTTTCATCTTTGTTTTACAGGTAATAAATGTTCTTTTGTGGTTTGTTTTTCATAAGAAAGCTCAGATCAAAATATGTAATTAGGAAACTTTTATGGCTAATAATGATGTTTGGCATATATCATCCTTTCATGTGTGTACTGCAAGGATATTTAATAACAGTTTTGGGAACAGCCTCCCGGGTACTGTATTGTGCAGTGTCTTTGCAGGATTTAAGATTACATCGCCCTTGCACAAGAATGTCTTTGTAATATTGGAAAAGGGACAGCGTTGCTCCAATCTGTGGGTCTGTTTCAGCGTGCAACACATCTAAGATGGTTTGGATAAGCGTATGTGCTTTCCTGAAAATGTATTTTGGATTATGTAATAATGTTCTAGAAAGAGCAATGGTGATCTTTTTTAGTTGTCGCACATTGTGAACTGTAGAAGCACTGTGAGCACAGTAATCAGATTCCTTTTAATTGCTTGTTATTAATGTAGAGGCCTAATTATGAGGATGACAAGAAAAGCATCCACAATGCATAAACAATGAGTAAATCAAGTGCACAGTCTGGCATGGATTTTCCATATGTCAGTTTCACCATCCAAGCAAATTATAGAGCCCCCTTAAAGCTGATGGAGTCACAGTCAAGTCAGTTTTCACTAATAAGAGACACATTTTCAGTTGTGCCTTGTGTTTAAACTAACTCAATGGGTCACTGCCTGGGCACACCTTTGATTAAGAAGGTATTTACAGCCTTCTCCTGCATATTTGCTGTGATTTGATAGCAATAGGGAAGCCTTGTTGACTGATGATTGCAATATAATTTCATTGAAGATTAGACGCACTTCAGTTCAAAAATTAAAACTGATTGCTACATGTGAACTGATACGATAGATGACCCATGACATTCCACTTCCTCCACATGTTTTGGCACCCCTGATAAAGACATATGGAAATGCTTGGAAAGTCTTAAAAAAAACAAATCTTTACTCACAACAGTACAATCTCCCACTGAAACATCTCTGTTAGTGCACTCTTTAGATTATCTTTAACCTTTTCTTCACTATGCATGCTGGAAAGATAAACTGGTTCTAGCCCTGACTTGTTTATCACAGTTGTTGCAGCTGTTTAGCTTTTCAATTAATGGTCTGACGGTGGTCACAGCCATGTCCTTACTTGAAAAGATTACCTAACATCTGGTTTATTTGAATGGCATGTTTGTTTTTTTCGCATTTCATAGATTTGCTAAGAAAAAAGTACTTAAAATGTATATTTATTCTAATTTAAAAGTAAGTGATTCCAAAGATAAGCACATATTAGTTAAAAAACCTGGAATATAGATAACAAAGTTTTCTATATACTATACTGTTATTGCGGTGTCACTACTTGTGGGGTCTTTTTTGAGGGTGGGATTCTTTTAATTTGATTCTTTTAATCTGATCAGCTCTTCACTTCTCTGTGAGATGGTTAGGTTAGGCTCTGAAATTAAAGGACCAAGCAATAAACTTAAAGGTATAGTGGAGGATTTTCATAAATTTGAATAGAGCTGCCCTCTCCACTTGCAAATGCACAACTCTCTAACCGCTCCCGAGAGGGAACGCCAATTAAACGAGCCAATTTCTTCTTGTGCACGCTCTGTTTAAAAGCTTCTGTTTGCATCGCTCATACAAGCTTACTTTCCAAAAGAAGATTTGCAATTTTTCCATTATCTTAAACTCACCACCGGTAAATGAAATGGGACTACGACATAGGAAGGCCTTATGTAAAAATATAAACAGAAGGATTGACAATTAGGAGGACCGCTTATTCTGATGATCCACCCAGAAAAAAGAACATCCTCCACTATACCTTTAAGTTTAAGCAGTGAACAGTTTCCTGTTCAATTAAGTTTTAATCTCTGATTGAGCAAACAGAAATGGTAACATAACAACTAAAATTCAGACCCAACCAGACATGATGACTCTCCTAAACCATCTTCTGCTTTTCTGAGTAATTTTAAATACAAAAGACACATTGTTTGTGAGAGAAAACACTCCCTTAAAATTACAGCCATTTAACACAACTTTTTTATCAGGAGACCAAATCCAGTAGATTAAAGTTATATTTTATCCTTTTATAAAATATGCAGCAGAATGCCCACACTGTTCTAACAGCTGGTTGTTATTTCAACCCATCACTCCCAAACGTTCTCACACATTGTTGAGGTTTTCACTCCTTGCAGCCATAAAATTTGAGACATGAACCTAAAATTCTTTATACCTTCGCATTACTTAACGTGGTGATGACAACGTTGTTGTCCTTTTGTGTATGGATTCTGTGAAAGGGAGTAAATTGTGGTGAGCACATATGGGAGGATTTTTATGAAATAACATTTTGATGCTGTGTGGGAGTTTTCCCTCCTTTGTGTTTTGACTGTTTACTGGCTGCTTAATAAATACTTAAGGTCTCATGATCGATCTCTACGTCATTGCTGGATGTGTTTGAAACCCTGCAACTTGTCACATGACGGCACTTTTGTGACCGCTAATTAGGCAAAATGGTGCACAATCCATGTCCAATCTTGCTTTTTTTGTTTCTCTCAAATGTATTGTATTGTTGTATTTAGGTTTTCCAACCAGAATTACCCAGAGCTGATATTTAGGTGTAAACTGATGAACAACTTTTACTATCATTACTACTGACTCCATCAGCAATAGTAAATAAGGATGACAGCTGCCAGAGACTAAGAGCAACTGTAAAAGTAATGCTTGTAAAGCCCAATCGGGTGAGCAGTACAATGAATGGCTTTATGTCCTCTGTACATTCTGTACTCATGCAATATAGATCATGACCCAAAGAGATAAGAATAGCACAACAGTATACAAGAAAGTAAAGGTTTGTTAAAGTTTAACTTGATTGGATAATCTGCCACCATCATGGCTCTAAGCCAGAGAACACAACTGATAAGGTTTTCAAATATACAATTGAATGAAAGTAATCACATTTTCCAGAGTGTACCCAAAAGGTATTCAGGACAGGTATCTGTATAGATATTTTAATCTTAATATTCATGCCAAAAAAATTAAGGTTTAAAAACCATCTTGATATGATAAAAAGCAATGCTTTTACAATTGTGTTCGTCCATTTTTTATTTGTAATAACTCTTTAATTGATGGTTGTTATATTAGTTATATGGACAGCAATATTAGCCTTTCGTCTCACAGTTAAACACTGACAGTTAACATGTATTGATAAAAGTCACCTCCATTGGGCATAATCTAATGCAACTTAGCTTTTCCGAGAGGCATCAGAATGGAGACTTAGAAACTGAGTGAACCAAGAGAAATGTACGCAAAAATAAAAGAATATATGGGATATTTTAAAAGGGGTAAACAAAGGTAGATACAGATGTCAAGAACATTCCTAAGATATCCTCTGATAGCCACAATAAATCAATAAAATATTTATTGCACTGTACAATTTTTTAATCTAATATATTTGTGTTTCTCAAATGCTGTTTTGTCTGAATGGTATTCTCGCATTTATCCAGCTCATATATAGAAATTACATCAGTCCAATCTTAACTTTGGGAATGGAACACTGAAAACAGAGGCACATTAGACCAAATAAACATAAAGCTTTATGGTTGAGGAAAAACACACTTTAACATTTCAGGAGGATTAGTAGGAAATTGTCCTCAAAAACTAAGTAATGTATATATAAACATAGCTAGGGTCTGAGGGGGAAATTTTACACTTTTAATTGATGTTAAGTCCAAAATTATCTTAATAAATTTATGGTATAAACTGCTTTCTAACATAAACCTTTTTTTCTCATTGTCCCCAGTAAAGATTGCAACAAACCATCTATATATATTGGTGTGCAAACTATATAGATTGTAGGTAACCCTGGGAAGTTCAGAAGTTAGGTGTGTTTGTTTTGTTTTTATTTCTATGTGCATGTATAATCGCACACAAAAAATTAAGCATACTGAAGGAATTTTGTTTAAAAACAAAAAAAGTAAAGCTTTTCTTTTTATTCCTTTTAGATTACAAGTAAAATGTGTTCCATAAATCTGGACAAAATGTAGTTTTATATCTATTTTGATTTCATTTCATGCACATACAGTATCAACAGGTTACTTCTGCAGGGTTTCTAATGAATTATCTAAAGCACCTCAAATAAATCAATAACAGTACGGATAAAAACTTTATACTGTTTAAAAAAAAATCTAAGATTAGGTTGCTGATTTATTGGTAAGGTTTTTTTTTATTATTTTTTTTATCATAACAGAAGATGAAACATACCTGTGAAAGAAGAGTAAAATGGACAACATAGTCTGGTCAATGCTGCTGTTACAGATTCCCTCATTGAGCAGAAAGCAGGGGTCCCTCACCACCGACTCCAGGGAGTCCTGCCTCATGATGTTGTTCAGCTTGTCAGTGTTTAGGTTCTGGTACATCAGCTGGTTGCGGAGCAGGCGGAAATGGTTCACACTGGGGCTGGTAGGGCTTGGTGGCAGAGCCCCTGCATGGCCATGTCCCTGAGACAAGGAGTCATCACAGCCGTTGGCCAGATCCAGGCAACAGCTGCAGCAGTCCAGACCTATGGAGGAGCGGCAGTCTTCATCTGACATCTTGGTAGGCAGGTGAGAAAAAGAGGAGGCAGGTGCAGGAATGACAGAGATGGATTTTTAGGACAAAGTGGAAGAAGATCAGGAATGCTCTAGTTTGTCATCCTGGGATTCAGGTCCTCCTCAGAAGCACCTTCAAGCTGTGCCACTCTGCTGCTTCTGTCCTTGAGTTTCCACTTTTCTATGTTAAAGTTATTTTGCTTCACTGTTTTACTGAAGTGACAGGAACACAGAGCACAATGCAAACAGTCTCAGCTGGAGTCCTCTTGTAAGCAAAACCCAGAAGCTGCTTGCTGCTTATCATAGTTTTCCTTGAACTTTTTTTTTTTTTTTTGCTTCCTTGGGTTGGCGTCCCAGAGACACAGAGGAGGGAATGAAAGGGGAGGGATGCAGACAGAAAGGGTGTGAAAAAAGCCATGTGATTGGCTAAAAGCACCACTGTTTGCAGAAACGGGTCCCTCCTTCTTTCTCCCTCAGCTAATCAGGATGAGGAGCAGAGGCAGACAGGGAGGTTACCTTTGCAGTGCATGCTGAAAACATGTGCAACTGCCCAAGCTCCACCTTGCTGTGTTGACAGCACAAGGGTTGGCTGCAGGAGGAAGTTTTGCAGCAACTCTAAACTGTGATAAGATGTGCTAATTTGTGAAAATGAAAACGCACAGGGCTTGCCTCTGCTAAGTTGGCACATTTGATTTAAAGGTCAGGTTGTGGTAATGACTATATATGGTCCGGTCCGTTACAAAGATATTCTCCCTGCACTTTCTTTCATTTTTTTTCTTTTGCAATCACAAAACTTGTTTACCTGAAACCATTTCACACCAGATCTGTCACACCAGGGCAGAAAATAGAACCTCTGACTCTAGTCTTAGATCTTTTACAGCCTCCAACAGTGTTTCTTTCAAGCCTGGCTTGCATTTTGCTATTCAAACTACCACAAACTAAAGAAAAAGTATTCCCATCTCATGCACCACTATATTTCACAAAAGAGAAGTCATATATCAACTACAGGTATTCAGTTTCAATTCAGTTTATTTATATAGAGTTCACCAGATCATACAGTCAAATTGATTCAAAGTTTTCTATCTAAGGAAAACCAGTTGATTGCATCGACTCATTGACTCGAATGCAATCCCTCACACCAAGCATGCTTGTACCGACAGTGGAGAGGAAAAAACTCCCTTTTAACAGGAAGAAACCTCAAGCAGAACCAGGTGTTTTCAGTCACACAATTCGTTTTATATATAGGCCACAAAGTATATTTTTTGTTTCACTTGTCCATTTATAAAAAGTCTGACCTTTGAACCTTTTTGCACTGAATATCTGAGAGACCTGTCAATGCTTGAGCAGTTGCTTAATATTCACCACTAACTGATGCTCCTTATCTATGATGGATTTTATAGGGTGAATTTATCATCATTATTTTGTCATTTTGTGAATGTGTGTATGTAAAGCCAGGGGAGTGTGTTCTTAATAAGGCATAATCTTATCAGGTCCCCACTGTCTCTTCTGGAGGCCATGTGGGATTGGGCTGCTGTTCGTGCTGCGTGTTTGCCCTGCAAAAAAAAATGTTTTACAAGCTTTTCTACAAACTATTACAGTTTCATTGCAACTACACTTGCTTCGTGATGATAGCACTGCTGACCTTGGCCGCTGACCGTGTATGCAACAATCTGTAAACAGATGGATGGTCACGCAAGAACATGGCAACAAGATAATTGTACTCTGAAACATGGCGCTGTTAGTGCTGCAGAAAAAAATATATCACAGCACATATTGTAGGGGAGCAGGGGGATCAATTTAGCAGAGAAAATGACTGACTATTGCTTTATTGAGTGTGTAATGATGTCCTCAGGCAGCAAGGCTGCTACAGTTTGGTTAGGTAATGCAGTATTAGGCTGCCATCTAGTGGAAAATAGGTAGTACAGTCACTAAAGCAGCTTCTGCCTGCCAAAAAATTGCTTTCTTAATTCAAATTGTACAAGTTTAGCCCATTTTCTTGTCCGAGGACTCAAAGATGTTTTGTATTTAGTCATTCACCCATTTATGTAGATATTCTTACTCTAAGGGTGGTAATCTACATTTAAAAAAAGAAAAAATATTCCAACCACATATAGCAGTTATATTACAGTTAGCAAAAATATACTTAACCTTCAGAGGTTAATCTATTTTTATTAGACTTTGAAGTCATTGTGGGTTGAACTTAAAAAAGAAAAAAAAAATGCTAGAGGAAAGTCTATCCATTCATTTTTCTCTCCCTGTTTACACCTGCATAATAGCTCGGGGGTTTTATGGCTCTGGAATATCATGTTGTTTGCCCTTGAAGTTGTTGGTTTAAATATTGAAAATCGTCGGGATCAAAGTGCATGTTTGTTTTCCAGACGAAGACCCCACTGCAGGATATTGCCAAAGGAGGAGTTTCAAAGGACATTCTGAGAGAGCTCGAGGTGTTTGCTGTGAAACATGCCCACCCACACTGTTGACAACACAGTGACTTTGTTGTGGAATGGAAGGCTTTATACATTAGAATAGCATAGAAAAAAGGTGATGTCCAAATCTTGAATGATTAAACAGAGTCATTTTGAGCTGCTATTTAGAATAAAATTAAATTTTTTTCTGAGAGTGTGGTTAGAGAGTGGGGGTGCAAATAACTGGACATTTAGTTTGCACCATGCTAAATGATACATTTTGTGTAAAACATTGATTGGAGGGGAATTTCTTTTAACAGATTAAGCCCCACAGGTATCTAAAATAGGCCACCTAAAATGCTGTAGGATAGTGAATGCGCTGTTTCAGTAGTGACAAGTTTCCAAAATCAGTGCAAATACCTCATATTTCAGCTTCAATGCATTATGTTTTTCAACAGTTTGTTTCAAACTAAAAAATGGCAAAAGCTCAGCTTATATCAATTTAAAAGATTTATCATTGAAGTCCATTTAACACTCCGAATTAATGCAAATCTGTTGGCAAGTTGGAAATTATGAGACCTGGAAAAGGCTAAGAATGTGCTCAATTGTAGTAAATTGGATGGACCATTTAAAAAAAAAAAATGTATTTATTTATTATTTTTTTTCTGTATAAAAAAATTCATTATCATAGAGAAGATAACTTCTTTTTGGTTTCCAAAAGTATAAATCATGAGAAGCACCTTGAAAATGAAAGCACAAACCCTACCTTTTTTCTTGAATAGAACTGTAGCCTTTCAGACTTGGATAAAACTACTGCATGAGTTTTTATTTATTTATTTTTGGGGGGTAACAGTCAAGGTCTTGCTACCAATGTAAGAGTTTTCAAGGTGGACATTGTATCCCATTGTTTTGCCTGGTAGACAAGAAACTGTTGGAAAACATATGTCTCAGCTGTTAAACGACGTAGTAAGGGAAAATAATACTTAAAATCAACAAGTTGCAACCAGATTTCTACATACCCAGGATAAAATATTTAATCCCTTTCCCTTCATGGTCTGACATTTTTAGGTTTAGGACAATTTTTGAAGTGCAAATAATTTTTTGGGATACTTTGATTTATGTTTCACAATATATTTTTTTTTTCAAGTTCACATAAATTTTAAGATATAAGTTTATTACAGTTTGGGGCAAATTGGGAAAGCTCAAATGATGGGTGTTCAGCCATTTCTATCATAACTTTTCATGAATATTGAGGGACATTAAGAGTAAACCTTTAAGTCTTAATTCAAATACAACAAATTGAAGGTCCTGGTCCTTCACCCTTATCAGGGTCAACAGTAAGAACTCTGTCATGGGTTGGAAAGGAACTCCAGACAGCCTTGCTGTATCCGGACAGAATTACCTGATGGAAACACACATGGAGAATATCAAACTAAGACTACAGCCATCAGAAAAAGAACTAGAAAAAACATGAGTCACATAAACCTAGACACCTTGGACATCTGATTGCTGTCCAATCCTATTTGCACAGCTCCAGAATGTTTCCTTCTGCCAGTGGTCCATCCTCTGGGGGGTGGCCTTGTGTCTCAACTTCAAGTCTGGCCTGGCTGGGTCCCACAGGGAGAAACCTTGCCAATGAACCCTTGGCTTCAGAGTAAGTTCCTGGCTCTACCGTACCGGATGACATCACCTGCCTCGATTTCTTGGTTATCATTAGGGCTTTGTGAACTGCTATGTGTCTGACCTGCTACCAGGGTCTGTTTGCCTTGGGAGGCACTACAAGTGGTATTTAAACCCCCAACAACATAGCTTCATGGATCGTCAGAGCACCACGTTAAGGTGGGGGTTCAAGCAGGGGTGGCTGTTTAAAGGAATAGTACACCCAAAACATGATTAGCCTTCATTTTCTACTCACCCCCATGCTGAACAACACCCTGGAGTACTTTTTTGATATCTCAAATGCATCTGGAGATCTGGGAGGCTTCTTGCTGTCTGCTGACATTCAAATAATGGAGGTCTATGGTTCCTGAAAGCGCGCACCTGCGCGTTCATGACGCTACGGAAGCCGGCAGACCAAACCAGATGAAAGTGCGCA